CCTTATGCACTCAGCACATCATCAGCTCCAGGATAGCTCCTCTCTTGCTTAAAAACTTTGTGTTTCTCCCTAGTGCCTGTCCAAGTCCAAATTTCTCAGCCTGACATTCTAAGCCCTCCCTTAACTGCCATCAACTTTCCTTTCTGATCTTAACTTTGACACTTTTCAAAATATTACACATATTACCCCAACTGAACTACTCACTATTTAGCAGCCTTCCTGCTTTTGTTCTTGCTCTTCCCTACTGTTGGAAAGTACCTATCTTTTGGTGTCCCTTTTCACTATAACTCTGTAGAACAAGTCCTAATCTAGACCAATCAGATGCTCTTAGGTTTTCAGTGTAAAGGGCAAGGAGGTGCCCCACCCCCTCCAAACTCAGAGGGCAGGTTAACTTCTGAAAATTAAACTAGTAAAACCCACAGTGGATGACATCAGCCAACTGCAAAGATAATATACCCAAAGGAAGTCTCAAGAAGCAGGTAGTTAAGGAGATATGAAAACACCTCCCTGGAAGAAGGTACCCAGCGCTTATTCTGAGGACACAACACTACCTACATTTCTGGAACCATAAGATGAGCAAACAAAGCACTTTCAAATCAGTTACAGGGAGCACAGGGAATAACTGAACCGTGATCAACTGTGCTAACTGGCCAAGGCAGTGACTCAATCAATTACATTCTGCTCTGGTGTATTGAAACATAGCTTGTGCTGTAATAGACAGAGGCAGGTAAGGAGAAAAATGTGGAGTGGCTGCTTCCAGCACCAACTAGAAGAGACACTGAGTTTGGGGGATACTGACTTTTGGGACAGGGGAAGGATCGGGGATGAAGGGATTGGAAAGAGTTCATCCAGCTTTCTCAAAGCTGGTTAGTTTTCCCCAAAGTCCTGTGTTTCCTTTGTTCAAATGACAAACCCACCAAGGCACCTTTTGAAAACCAATCTGGCTTTCTTTTGCATCATCAGAAAGGGATACACTGGGCAGTGAAAAGGGATATCCTCAGTGTATCTATCTCATGGGGTTCTTGGGAGGATTCAATGAGATAATGTGTGTTGAGGGATGGATATAGGCTGTACAAAGTAATTGTTCTATAAATGCATGTGTTTAAAATTAGGGTACTGTAGGTCTGCCTTTGACGACAAGTTCTTATACATCTGCTTAAGGTAAACTGGCTTCCTGGCATCTAGGTGCCTGGATGATGGTGGGCACCCACACCTGCAAAAGAGGCTCCATGACCCTGGATGAGAATGAGCCAATTGAAGCCTTGTCTTGGAAAGGGCCTGACAACCATCCACCTGGTCTAGGGCATCTGTAGTTCATTATCATCCTCCAACCTCCTTTCTCTAAGCGCTAAGCATATGTCTTACACCATTTTTGTTCAATTTTCAATGTCATCACTTGCATGTATCTCTAACCCCAATTCTGTCAGAGTGTATACTCCTTGAGGATGGAGGCTCTTATGTCCCTTGCAGGGCTTCAAATGTGACAAATCTTCAATAAGTTGAAATGAGATGAATTAAAGATAAGGCAAATGATCTTGGGTTCAAATGAAGACTATAAAATCTGTCCCCCCAGTGAACTTGGTTGCAGACCCCCAGGGAGGGGAGCTGGTGTTACAGGCTGAGAGTGTCTCTCCTGGTGTCCCCATCCCAGAGAGTGGACACAGGAGAGCATGCTAGGCTGAAGGAGGGCTGTTCAGCTGCCCCAGAAGGGGACAGACAGACCAGAGGCAGACGATTGGATAGAGCCCGCCACACTTACCTGGATCTCTGTCTGCACAGTGCATTTAACCAACTTGAAGTTCTTCCCGGTGTTGAAGCTGTTACTATAGAAGCACACCTTGAGGATCCGCACGTCTTCCTTTTCCACATCTACTGGCACCACCACCATGGGCTCTGGGGGGCCTTCAGGCCGACGTAACGTGCCCACCTTCACTCGGCTCAGGGGCTCGGACACCCCAGACATTCTCTCAAGCGGCAGCTAGGACCGGCACATCTCAGTCCTGTGGAGACAGCAGAGGGACAGCCCCGAAATGAGTCCGAGTAGGCCCCCATGCCTCATGCCCCAGGGACGGCACCCACCAAGCTCCAGGACCCAGCAAACCACACTTGCTCCCATTCTCAAAAACTCCCCTTAAAGGCATCCAGCTTTATTGACTGGGGGAAGCTGAAACACAAAGGAGCAGTTTGCATCAACATCCGGGTATAAAACCCCGGGACCTTGAGTTCCCGGGCTGAGAGCATTCTCTTCTAGAAGCCCCTCTCTCCATCACATTTCTCCTCCCACACTGACTCCAGGCAAGAGGCCCACATTTTGCAAGCGCAGCTGCGGGAGGAGGCGGCCACAGCATGGTTCCAAGGCACAGCTGAGCAGAAAAAGCAAAGAGCGAGACAGTAGAAAATAGCAGGAGAGAAACAGGGACAAGAGAAGAAGCAGAATCGGAGAATGGGTGGCCCGGAGGGAGCCTCAATGGAGAAGGCAGGAAAGGACCCAGGTGGGGGGCCCATCCATGAGCTGATGGCATTGTCTGCCCCCACCCGCAGCTGCCAACCCGAACTTCCTGGTCAGGAGGCCTCAGTCCCACAGGAACTCATCATACAGCACATGGTTCATTGCACACAGGAGAATTCAAGAGGAATAGCACTCCCACAGTTCAATGTGGGAGGTCCTCTGCCAGATGGGAGAGGACTGGGCTGGGACCCTAGAAGATCCAGCCCAGTTTGGATGACAGTTTGGTCAACACTTCCATAGACTGTGAGAATCCTAGGAATCTTGAGCTCTCTCTGAGTCCCTGCAAAATAGCTCCTGTCCTCTTGATCCAACACAACCCTATAGGGTTTACTTCTCATTGCTCTAAAGCAGGAACACCCCAAGGAAACAATGCAAGTTTTATCTGCAGACTGGTGGTGTCAACCTTGGCTCCGCATTAGGATCCCCTAGGAAGCTTTTTAAGAAAGCCTAAATCCGGCTCTGTGCCCAGAGATGGCCACTGAGTTGGCTTGTGGGGAGATCTGGCATTTTTAAGTTTCCAAGGATTTTTCTAACATTTAGCCTGGGCCGGGAGCCACCTTTCTCGACTAACCTTAGCTCTCATTCTGAACTAATTCTTACAGAAAAATTATCTCCCCTCTAACAAGACACTGTAATTCTAGGGGGACGTTTTTAGACCAGCAGTTGGGGGCAAAAGAATGGAACTGGCGATGTGAAAACACAAATGTGGAGGCAAGATTTTAGAAGCGGAACCAAAGTCATGGTAATCCATTCACACAGTGCTGGACACTAGCAGGGAAGATGTTGACAGTCATTGGCTTTAAGGACTTGTCCCTTTAGGCAGTGTGTATCATGAGGGCACGAAGGAGATGCTGTGAGGACGAGGGAAAAGCAGGGCATGTCCCTTCCATCAGGGGTGGCCAGACAATGGGCAGAACACCAGTCTCAGTCCTCAAGGGTAGCCAGAATTTGAGACAAGACAGAAGGAGAAAAGAATATCCAGTCTCCTTTATTTTAGAGGCTAGTATGTATATTCTAGAAGTATCCATGCCATTTTCCTTTTTTTAAATGTTTATTTATTTATAATTTTGAGAGAGAGGGAGAGAGAATGAGAGTGGAGGGGGAGCAGAGAGCCAGGGGATGGAGGATATGAAGCTGTGGGACAGAGCGCGGGGCTCAAACTCATGAACCATGAGATCATGACCT